ACAAACCTAAAAGCCCTTCTGTGACAATTCACATATGCTGGAAACCATCTGCTGGGGCATACATAACCAAGGGCTGGCCAATTCAAATTAAACACTCGTACAAAAAGTAAAACTTACTAAACTTAGAGGTAAAGGGACTAAGTGACATTTTAGTAATACCTAACATGTACATTAAACATTGACTCTAAAAATGCCTTCCAAATACTTTATTTGAAATCATTGACACTGAAAAATAACATTAGAATACAGAACAAAAAAAAACCCAGCAGCAACAAAAACTGAAAACTGACAATGTTCATGGAGAGATAGCAGAAAAAGTTAGAGGGGGAACCCCTAACTTGGCACAAGAAGGAAATGTGCGGATCATTGAGAAAAATAAAAAACAAAACTGAAATACACAACTTAAAAGTGTCAGCACACGGATAAAGTTTAATGATAGGGTTGATTACATTTAAACAAACAAAAGTTTCACTCATTTAAAAAACTTTTTTTTTTTTATTTTTATTTTTTGACACACCAAGTATCTGAAAAAAATCCCAGGGAAGGATAACTCACTGGGAATGCTGGTCACTGAAAGACATTAGCGTTGCGGAGCCTTAATCATAAAGTAGGTAAGAAATTTGCATAAGTGAAAGGAAGTTCCTACACAGAGCTGTAATCTGCTTGGTCTATAATCACCAGTTGAAAATGATGTTAAAGGAAATGCAATTAGGCATTTAGAAAGGCTCCCTTACCTTTTAAATCAGGGGGTGGGGGAAGAAAAATGTTACAACTATGCCTATACATATATACTTACAGTGAGCATCTAAAAATGTGAGCGTTTCAGCTGTTGCTGCTGTTGCTCCTAGCAACCGTGCAGTGATCAGACCTTTCCTCTCTCTTTGTCTGACTATTTTTACTATAGAAAATTGTTTTATATATTCCTCTAGTTTATCGTGTAAGTACTCTGTAAGAAAAAAAAAATCAGGATTAACTCAAGTTTATTTTCATATATGACATATAAAAGCTAACAATGAAACCACAGGGCAATAATACCTTCACATTCATAATCTCAACAGTTACACACATTTTTAGATTAAGATGTAAATTATATCTTTAACTCTTTATTGAAAAAATAGCTATATATGCAAATATTAACTTCTGAACTATTGTAACATATAACATCATAACACATACCTAACTTGTACATGCCATATCAATAAATGTGACTGATTTGGGGGGAAATGAGAGATTTCAAATGGAGTGGACCCCAGGAGTTAAGATTCATTTAGAGATCTGAGAAAATTAACTAAGAGAGTAAAAGAAACTAAATTTGGCCAAAAAGATATTTGATGCTTTTTAAAATTGATATTTAATTTGGAAATTTAAAGAAAAATGCCAAGTATCAAAAGGATTCTCTGTTTCTTAGGCAGTGATCAAAATAATATGACCGAAATATTGAAAAAAAAAAGCAAGTAAGAAAGTCCAGGGCTACAGCAGTTTGCGTATATTTCTACAAACACTCAGCAGAAAATTTTCGAAAGCTTTGGAGTCTCCTGACACAGAATTTTTTCCAGTAAAAATATGAAAGAAGAAAGAAGCACATAAATCAGGAATGAAGCTAAAAACAGAGGCAAATTTTTAGTAATGGATGTATAATTTAAGATATTCAATATTCCATTTTGGATGAGATACATTGTAAGCAAGAGTTAAGACAGTAAGTAAAAGAAAACACATTAAACAAGTCAGTCGAGTGTTGTTCGTATTTTTAAACAACGTCTTAAAGCCTGCCTTTTCACCATTAAATGTTTTACTCCTTGTTGAGTACATAATGCAGTTCTTGCAGGGCACTTCCTGGACCCATAACACAGCCTCAGAAAGACTGAGGAAGGTGTTTGCTTCTGCCCGATTTCAGAAGCAAATGCAGATGGCTTTATCTGTGAATATGTATGTTTTTACAATTCTCCAGTGGTGCAGATAAGAGAGCTGCTTATTCAAAAACCTAAATATTCATATAGGAAGTGAAGGTCTGGGAAAAACTTTTGTGGAAAAACAAATCTAAACATTGTTGTCTCAGAGCAATATGTTAACATTTTTAAACAGCTTCTAAGTACCTCAGAATTAATTCTCTGAAAGACAAGCAGGATTGTAATTTGTCTTAAAAATATAATTATGGATATTTCTGCTTTAATCATAGATTGTAAAATAGAAACTTATGAAATAAAAACATTTCAAAGGTCCGAATGGGGATTTTTTTTTTAATGGCGTCTCTAGAGTCTTTCAATCAATTGTCCCACTGTTTGAATTTAAGAAACTGATTCATTTACCCACACCTGAACTTCCTATAAATTCTCATCTACCCCCTAAATTTAGTCCCCATCCACACCCCGATTTTTGTGAGGTTAATAGCACAAAGCTATAAAATCAGACCTGGTGGGTTCAATTTATAGCACCACTACTTTTAGCTGCGTGCTTTTGGGGAAGTTATTTCGCCTTTTTTAGCTCAGTTTACCTATAAAATGGGGATGATATGCTTTACCCTCACAGGGAATTGTTGGGAGAATAAAACGAGAGATTACTGCACAAATGAAGCATTTAACATAGGGCTGAGCACAAGGCTTGTGCTCTGAACAGGTTGATTACCTTTTGTTTTGGTATTTAACTGCCTCTTTCTTACTTGATTATCCACATAATTATGCTGCTTTTCCCTAAGCCAGTTGAAATCAGGGACTATGGTTTCCACTTCACAAGCTACTCACAGCAATTGGGGACATATTTTCCACAGAGGGTATTTATTAAACAGCTTTTTACCTGATTCAACAAGACATGTTACACTAGTATGCAAAGATACCCCTCACCAAGAAAGCTGTTCCAAGTCTATTGTTAATTGCTATAAAGAATTATAAAAATACTCATACCCTTTGGTCAAGCAGTCCTACTTCTAATCTATCCAAATTTTTAACTCAAAAGAAGGAAAATAACATAAGCACAAGGATATATTCATTGTAGTGCAATGTATAGTAACAATATGAGTTGAATAAGGTGAATGGTTAAGTAAAATACATCTAGTCCATAATTACCATTAAAAAATAAAGTTTTGAAGGTAAAAGAAATGGGCTACTCATGTTACGTGAAAATGTCAAATCACAAAACTGAATTTCTGACATGGATATAAATTAGATAAACATTCTATATGTATTTAGACAGTGATCAAAAGAGAAAAGTAAAAGATTAAAATGATCAAAACAGAAAGATTATGAACTGATATCATTTTTCATTCTGATTTCCTTTAATTCTATTAATTTTGTTTGTGCAATTAAAAAATGAAGTTTCTCAGCTGAAGGCTTACTAGAAATTATTTATTTTATCATAAATGTTGTTTTAAAGTTGATGAAAGAGAATTAACTCCATTTTACAGAGGTGTAAAGAGCTCATTAGTGCTGGAGCTGGATTTTCACCTTAAGGAATCTGGCTTTAAACTTGGGCTCATTCAGCTATAAATTTTGTAATCACTGAAAATATCTATATCTGTTTGGTATTTTAAATGCTTGTAATGTTTGAAAATTTAGCAAATTAGAGTAGATGTCAGATTAGCCTTGTGATTTCCAGTTAAAATATGTAATTTACTAACTGACTATTGACTCATAATTTTAAGTGGCAAAGAATTAAAGAATTTGGCTAACTTTGTAAACAATATTGCAAAATTTAAAAGCGCCAAAATAAAACACGATGTGGTGACTCGTTAGTGCTTTTTAATGACTTATTTATATTAATTATATATCATTTATATTAACTCATTTAATCTTTAAAACAACCCTAGGAGTCACATACTATTTATGTGTCTCCTCAATTCCAAGCTGCACAACTGGATACGTTTTATAATCAATGGCATCTTAATTTAATTGGCTGTGAGGGTTTTACATTCTAGTAGTATATAAACTAATGACATATCATATAATAAATTTGATGAAATATGGCATTTTCCCCATTTTACAGGTAAAGAAACTGAAGCCTAGGGGGTTAAATAACTTTCCCAAGTTACACAGCGGGTTAGAACCAGAGCTGGGATTTAAACCAAGGCAGCCTGATTTAAGGTTCAAGTCTGCTCTTAACCACTGTGCTTTATGATAAAAGTCATACACTGAGGACTACAACATTATGAATAATGGTGTTTCATACATTTCTGAACTGTAAAATATTTGAACATAGACACTCTTGCAATTTATTTTTATCCACTATAGATACCATCCAAGCTATTATACAGTCAAGCTCAGAGATGGCAGACAGCGAATACAACATAACCAAACAGACTTTGGACAACACCACGTGGATTTACCTGGGAAACAATCTAATTTGCATGTGCTTTCTTACCATCTACACTAGCATCGTCCACCAAAATGATTTCCTTCAGCAGTATGGCAGGTGAAGAATAGAGCACACTGTGGACAGTTCTAAGCAGCGTGGACCACGCTTCATTGTGAAAAACTATTATGACACTGGTGGTAGGCAGCGGAGGGCAGCGCTTAAATTTTTGTTCAATACATCTAGAGAAAGTCAAAGCAGAAGAACAATTAAGATTTTCATTGCTTTATGTCACGGCTATACCATTACTAAAACTATTTAACTTTTATCAATATGGAAATGTTAGTGAAGTGTTTTACTATGTAAGATGATCTTAACACTGTGTAACTGTAAGTGAATCAAAACAAAATTTTTTACAAGCAGACCACCACTCACCCAGAGATCATGTCCACTAATACAGATTACATGTCAAGGATTAAAATATGCTATTGTAAACTTTCTCAACAATATAATTTTAAATACAAATAACATTTGAAATTAGGAAAATAACCTACAAGTGAGACAAATGCCTGCAAAAAAGGCAAATACTTGTAATTGCTCAAATAAAAACCAAGTTTTTCTTCTTCCTTGTAGAAATCGTACATTTTTCTTATGTGCAATTTTTAAAACTACAATTTTATTAAGTGAATATTCATCTTTGTACAGATTATCTTAAATTAGATATTTTCCTAAGTATATAATATTTTCCAAGTTTGTTTAACTAATTTACTTAATCATATTCAAACCAAAGGGGAAAAAAAAGCTTACTATATACAGAGGGTACCAAAAAATATATATACACATTTTAAGAAAGGAAAAAAACCAACTAAAATTGTAGTATTCAATATACTTGTATACCGATAACAAAAGATGAAAACAAGTCACGTTTGACTTCTGCAATTACAAGAGGTGCTCAAAGTGGTTACCATCAGCATCCAGACACTTCTGATTATGGCGAACTACTGCTTGAGCAACGTTGACCAAAGTGTCATTTATACATTTTTTTGGCACCCTCGGTATAACCTATTTTCTTATGATGTTCATCATTCAGCAAAACTTAAGTTCCCACCCTATACCATATGCCATACAGATTTTGCTCCAATAATTCAACCTATTGTTTGAGACCTAGCATTTTAAATATTTCTTTTTAAAAAAAATGTATTTAAAAATTAAAAATAAAAGTCTTATGTCCATGTTAAAAGTCCTGTGCTCCTGTTGCTACATGAAACACTAATAGGCACAAGGAGATAGTATATAGTTTTTGACTGATTAGTGGTACTACTCATCATCTATAAACATTAGTTATAAATGGATCTTGAATTCATTTTTATATGAAGTGTTGAGGTGTGGGTAGACCTGTATAGCCTCTAGCAGTTGAGGCTGGAGCTGAACACAGTCCCTTGGCCTACTGAGTTGAGGTGAGGATCAAATGAAATAGCATGTAGGAGAGGGCTTCAAAACATTCTAAAGCCAGAGTGACCTGGAACATAAACCATGTGTGGTCTATGGTAAAAGATAAATACATAACAGTATCTTTAAGTTCACTTAAAAACCATAAATAGTTGTATAATTTTAAATAACAAAATTCTCCTACAAGGTCCAAAGGCACTATAAATACAGTGTGTGAACAAACAGTGCTGTTCTAACTCCAAGATAAGGAGGCAAATCATTCACTCATGGAGATAAGAGCCCAGAACACTCCAGCGACTCTACCAGGGCCAATGGGAAACCCAGAGCCACGGGTCTGCTATTAGAGACCTGGGGCTGCCACCCTACAAACTCTCATCATTACTCTTTTAGCCAGACCTCAATACAAATTTGTTTCAGATTCTTTAGGGTGGAGGTCTTTAGAGTGGAATATTTGTAATGCTAACCAAGAAATTTGATTGACAATAAAGTACTGAGAGGCTATCCACACAACTGAGGAGGCAAAGGAAGGGAAGGCTCTGTGTAAAAGTGATTTTGCTCTCTAGAGCCTTCATCATTTCCAAGTGTAATTAATATACATGCATAGTCAGAGCCAAATAATCACATACATCCTCACTGTTAGATGAAAGCAAATGATTTATTCTAAATTGAATTTTGGATAAACTGCCAACTAAAAATAATGTCCAAACACAAACTGCCTATTCATATGTGCTCCTAACTTATAATTACACAGAAACAAATGACTAAATATAAGCTTGGATTTTTGACACATAAAGATTTATGAACCAACATAAACTATAAGTAAAAATTATGAAAATCTCCATATTATAGCAGTTTATTTTTTTTAACATGAAAAGAAACCTTATGATTTGTTGTTTTGTAAGCATTCTGGGGAGGGAGTTTGAGGATTTAAAAAAAAATTTTCCCCCCTACATTTATTTGCCATGTGACTAAGTTAGTATTAATCAAGAATCACAAAAAGGTTTTTAAGATTTAAAGTATAAAACTTCACAAAAATTCACTCCAATCAAATGCTATTGTAATCTTGTAATTTGTTCCCTCAGTTTAAGCTACGATTTATTTGCTTGATTGATAACCTCTAATATCAAGTATAAGTGTCATATTATGTCATTAATGCAAGTGGTAATAAAATTTCACATTATTTCATAAACCCCATTTATTTTTAAACAATTAGCACATTAAACTTATGCTTTAAAAACTGTTTCACATGTATTTAAAGTAGTGAAATTAAAATAACTTGCCAAAGTGACTGCATGTTCCCAGTCAAACCATTTGAAACATTTGGTATATAGAAATGTGCTTAAATTAATCAGTCACATGACCATTTGGCTTTGAGAGAAACAGGATTTATATTTCTAATAAGCATGGAAAAGATCAACAGTTCTTCAGAAAATGTGTTCCTTCTGATATAGGTTACACTGAAAAGTAAAAAATGTATTTAAAAGTTAAAAAAAAATAATGAAGTAAGAAAATATTAAATCTTCACCAATTCTTCACAGTTATAGGTCATGCCTATCCCAAAAAGGGTTCTTTATGTGCTTAGTTGTTTTTTGCTTAATGATTAACATTATTGAATATTAATGCAGCTTCTCAATGCTATACTGGGAGGACAAAAGCTTATCTTCAAATGACATTGACTGTCACATCAAACAATAAAAGTCATGCTTGATTTGTGATGTGGATTGCTTTTCAGTCAAAATCTCTTCCCAAACCAGTAAAGTGCAATACTGCATTTTAACCTACTAATAGAAAAAAAAGGACTGTACCATGTTATAACAGCTAGAATGTTTTATAGACATTCATTTTCTTCACACATTCATTTAAAAATTGATGAGCAACATAACCCTAAATCACACAGATTAGAACAATAGAAATCTAATCTATACAACTTTAATATTGAGGGACCCACAGTTGGAACAGATATTTATGATCAGATCATAAAGCTAGAAAAATATAAGTGAAACAATAGGCCTAAATTTACAAAACTCCTTTTCTTCAGGTTCATTTCTAAATGTAATTTTATTTTAACCAGAAAGCAAAATATGTAGTCATCGTTTGCTTACAGTTTGTCTACCCTGCACTTTCAACAAATCTACAGATGGTTTGAAAGTGCTAGAAATTCATTTTAGCTATTTCAGTTCAAACAGAGCATTCGAACACTACCTCAACAGTAACAAAATGGTTCACTAAGGACAAACAGACAGCATAGTGGAATCTGGGGGAAATTTTAATTGAAATATTGTATACTAGAAATAAACATGTGAATAAACTGACAATAAAAAGCAGTGTTGGCCTGTCAGAGCTAAAGGGCAAGAACATAGTCAACAAAACTCTAGAGAAGGCATCATAGTTGAACTAGTAATTATAACAATATTGTCCCTTAAGAGAAAGGTTAAAAACACAGGGCATTCTGAAATATAATTATAGCACAGAGAGTAACCACTAAGTCTGTGACTTAATTCATAAAACATTGTTATCTAACAGCCCTAAAACCTTGGCACTATTTTTTTTAACATTTCTATTCTATAGTCATACACAGAGGAATGGAAACAACTCCTCCACCTCCTATATTTCCCATAAAAACTGCCCCATATTTCCTCCTTAATAGATGAGAAAACTAAAGAAATCATTTCAGAACAGTGGAATTTCCTCATGGGTCTTTAAAGGTCAGATCTAGAATTCAGTTTCTAATTTCTAAGATAATAACTTTTCACATCAGCAATGCCTCGCTAAAATTAGATATGGATATCTAGCCTCAATAATCATAAGCAAGAAACTAATTAAGACAGATTTAAAACAATGGTATTTGCTGATTTTTGGCCTCAGAGTGCTAAAGGACAAGCAGCTTCATTAGGTAACAGCCCGCCCCTGCAAACCCTGATGATAAATAGTAGACAATGAATATTCTTCAACGTACTCAGGAGGTCGAGTGTCTGGTCCAAGATCTCGGTGTAAAGAAATCCTGTCACTTGCAAAAGCGTTAAAACAATGTTTTGCTTCTCCAAGTTCTTTTTCCTTCTGCTCTTCAATACTTAAGTTGGTTGTCTTGAATGCTTTACCAGAAGCACCAGGTGCATTAGAATCCTGAGGTGGGCGGTCAAGAACGGGTTTCAATTCTGCTGCTGTGTAATATCCTTGCAAACAGGGTCTCTCACCAGCATCAATGTTTTGCCTGACAGGTGCTCCTATTTGCATTTTTGGCATTGCATCCTTAATATTGTTTACAGCTTCTAGCATTAAATCGAACATCTTGTTTTTGTTCTTCATGTTCCTTTCCATCCTTGATTCCTCTTTGGAATATTGAACACTTACTTCTCGTTGCATTAAAATCAAAAATATTACAAAGAAAAAAACTACTGCACCAAGCTTCCAGAACTTCTTGTGGTAATGTCTTTTAAAATGTAATTTTACTAGTCGCTTTAGGTGAGCCATTCTGACATTAAAAGCTTGTCACTTGACAAACAACAGTTATAGTTTCCTCTTTTACTTATATTTTTTATCATAGATTTGCTGGCAAGAAGGTTTCGTTAAATGGCAATATACCTATAAACAGAAATGATAGATGGCATTAGTAGCTATTCATTCCTGTAGGCATGGTTCAATTCATTCATTCAACCAACAACAGAACATGAGCTACAAACAACATATTCTTATGGTGAATAAGAATACAAAGATATCTTACCCTCAAGAAAATTAAACTTTTGAAAGAACACAACTGCTAAAATTAACCACAATCTATTTGGCTATAAAATATTAGGGCTTTCTCTCCAGTAAAAAAGACACTGTTAGGCCAGCCGAGTGGCTCAGTTGGTTAAGAGCTCGCTCAAGAGTGAGAGCTCTGAGCAACAGGGTCGCCGGTTCGATTCCTGGTCCGAGCTGAGCTATACTGCTGAGCTGCCAACAGATGGCAGGGTGGCTCAGCTAAAAAAAAAAAAAAAAAAGACATTGTTAACTCTAGCTAATAGCCATTACATAATATGTATAAAATCATTTTTATAAATATATTTTGAGTCCAAAAAACAGGTATCTTTTTTTTTAATTATTCCCCCCTCAGCTTTATTGAGATATAATTGACATATAACATTGTGGAAGTTTAAGGTGTACAACATGTTGATTTGATTTTTTTTTATTGTTAGTTTCAGGTGTACAGAACAATGCAATAGCTATCCTTTTCACCCTTCTCACAGAAACCCCCCTCCCCCATCTACTGCCCTCCCACCCCCGATATCATGCTTATCTATTACAATTCCATTGACTCCATTCCCACACTCTACTCCATGTCCCGTGACTATATGTATATATAATTATAGTTGACATACAGTATTATTCAACATCAGCTTCAGAAATACAGTGCAGTGGTCAGGCCTCTTCACCGACTATGAAGGAGTCTCCCTAACAAGACATGAGTCTATCTGGCCCCTTAAAAAATATTTACAACATTATTGATTATATTCCCCGACTGTCTTTTCTCTCCCTGAGGCCATATTGTAGTTACCAATTTGTATTGTCTCATCCCTTCCCCTTCTCCTTCATCCCCACACCTTCCCAACTAGCAACCCTCAGTTTTTCCTCTGTGACTCTGAGACTATTTCTGTTTACATTCCTCATTTATTCAGTTTTTTTAGAATTTACGTATATGTGAGATCATATGGTATTTGTCTTCCTCTGACTGACTTATTTCACTTAGCATAATGTTCTCTAGTTCCATCCATATTGTTGCAAATGGTACTATTTCCTTCTTCTTTATAGCTGGGTAATACTCTATTGTGTAAATGTACCATAGTTTCTTAATCCAGTCGTCTACCAATGGGCATTTCGGTTATTTCCAAGTCTTAGCTATTGTGAATAGCGCCACAATGAACATAGGGGTGCATATATTTTTTCGGATTAATGTCTTGAGATTTTTTGGATAAATACCTAAGAGTGGAATTGCTGGGTCATAAGGTAGTTCCATTTCCAGTTTTTTGAGATACCTCTATACTGATTTCTATAGTGGCTGCACCAGTCTGCAGGCCCACCAACAGTGCACCAGGGTTCCCTTTTCCCCACAACCTTGCCAGCATTTGTTCTTTGTTGATTTATTGATGATAGCCATTCTGACCGGGGTAAGGTGGTAGCTCATTGTGGTTTTAATTTGTATTTCCCTAATGCTAAGTGAGGTTGAACATTTTTTCACATGCCTGTTGGCCATCTGTATGTCCTCTTTAGAGAAATGTCTCTTCATATCCCCTGCCAAGTTTTTAATTGGGTTGTTTGTTTTTTTGGTGTTGAGTTACATGAGCAAAAAACAAGTATCTTAACTTAATAATCAAGGGGCAAAGGCTACATTAAAGATTATAAAGAAAGGGGGAATCCATAAGAAAGCATAGGTATACTTACAGGTACTATCAGCTATACATCGAAAATATTTTTGTTGTTGTTTATACATCAAAACTATTGCCTTTTATGTTATGAAGTTTGCCCAGAACCAATGAACCTTTATTCTAACTAAACCAATTAAGATTAAAAAGCAGCATCGCCAACAAGTAAGCTGACATTCTACTAGATTTGCTCACCTGACAATACTTGTGAATTCTGACAGAACCAATAAAGATTAGGAAATTAAGAACACTAATGTATTGTTATAAAATAGCCATTTTCAAATACAAAAATACATCACACAAATACAAAATCTAACAGCAAAAAGAAAATGACATTGAACATTACTTGCAGTGTCTCCAAAGAGGCAATAGGGATTGAGTTATTAAAGCAATATTTGTTCTGATAAAATACTGTTTGCAGTTGACCCAAAGAACAGAGCAACATGTTTACTAAACCCTAATATAGGCCATGAGGAGCAAAAGAAAGAGAAAAAAAAAGTTGACAATGATGACAGACTAAATCACAGTGAAGGTTGATTTTCTGCATAATGCTAAAAAAAAACATAATGAGAAGGGGTTTTAGTACACAATTACATACCACACACCAGTATAATCATTCAAGTAATTTGCAAGGGTAGAGGGGAAGGTCTGCCCTCCCTAAAAGCCTGTCCCCCCTAAACCCTCAACATATTTTAAGGAAAATGTCATTTGTAAAACTGAAAACTAACTTTGACACATTATTCAGTTTCTCTTCCAAAGTTATTACTAAATTTAAAATAAGAAAACCAAGTTCTAAGGTGGAATCTCTGGCCTTGAGCAAGAAATTTTAAGTTGACTAAACAAAATGGCAGAACTTGAATACTTAATTCTATATACCATTTCTAATTGGACTGCTCTTTCTCTATATATATTTTTTGGTATGGGATGGACACTTTGGCTCCAGAAGATACCTCAGTTATGATGTATATTGCCCATAAAAATGAGATTCCAATATTTCTGAGCTTTGGTCCTTTAAGAACCTCACATAAGGATTAAAATGACCTCTTAAGTTTTTTACATTGTTTGAAGACATAATGTAAGGAATTTGAGAGCCCCACAGCAGCTGTGTAACTTTTTAAGTTTCAACTGTTTTGCTAAGCTGTGGCTACAAAATTAAGATAATTAAGATACCTCTTACCTTCAAGGAGCAAAGACTAGTATGAAATATGGCATGTCAACAGGCAACCACAAAGCAGTGTAATATGTGCTATGATGGGAGACTATGAAAGCAATATGGAGGATAAGGAGCAATGTTAGGGAAAATTTCCCAGAGATGACACCGCTGAGCAGAATCTTGAAAGATAAGCAAAATTTAGACAGGTGGACAAGACAGAGGAAAGAGAGTGAATGGCAGATGTAAAAGTATAAAAGCAAGAAAAGCCATGGTCAATCCTGAGTACAGCAGAAGTGGGAGGCACAGGTATGAAATGGCAGGACATGGGGCTGGGAGGTCAGTCAAAGACCAGTTTTACAAAGTGAATTTGGAATCTACCAATTTTGTCCTGAATAGATTGAACAGAAAGAATTGGACGATTTTAAGGAAGGGTCATTATATTTGTTTTAGAAAAATCACAGGTTCCTCAGCATCTGTAAAAGTGATGCACACCAAAAAATGAAGAGAGCAGGAAGGATGGAGAGGACTGATTCAAGAGTCAGGGAAGTGGCATCAAACAGGACTTGGTGAGAGAAAGGGAAGAATTGGGGGGGGGGGAAGGGTGGATGGGTAAAGTGATGACATTAACAAAGTCAGGGAATATAGGAAGGAGGATAGATTTGGGGTGGGAATTAGGGAGATAATTTGTTCAACTTTGGACATGAGAAATTTGAGATGCTGGTAGGACTTTCAAGGTGAGTTCCCTTAAGCACAATAGATATGTGGGACTGAAAATCAGGAGAAAGTTCTGTGCTAGAGATGAACATGTGAGAGTCAGTCTTAGGGTAGAGAAGAGTTCACCTACAGTATATAAAGAGGTCAGAGAAATAGCTACATTTAAGGGGTGTGTGTGTGTCGGGGGCGGGGGGGGGGAACATAACTGGGGAAAAAAGACCAGGGAAATAATGAAAACCAAACAATGGAAAATCAAGTGAAAATAGATTGGCAGGTAAAGTATCCCTGTCAAGTGGTCTTAGATTTTACAATCTGCATCTTATCTTCAAGAGAATTGTTTCACTGTTGGTTGAACTTTAAAAGTAAACTTCACTAGACCTGGTCCAACAAACTTGAATGCAAAACCAAAAATAAACCTTGGCAGAGAATCCAACAGACTAGTAGTAGTCATACCCCCAAGACCCTAGGGCTTTGTATCCAGGTACTTTTAGACTAACAGGGCAATGACCTGGTCGAAGAAGTTCCAGGAAGATAAGGATGAGCAAAATGTTGAAGTTTCACAGGCTCATGATCCCCAACCTGTGAAATAGAACCTGATCACCTTTCCCTAACCACAACTTCGCAATAGATGAATAGATATAAATTAACCTATGTTTACCCTCCTTTTTGTCCCTAGGAAAACTACTAAAAGTCCCCTTCTCTACTGATGTTTTCTTAGTGATACTAGATTTCTTCAGTAGCTAGAGGTAGGCTACATTAGAAATTTGAGGACTATGGTAATTTCCTTAGGATGCTTTTAACAAAATATAGAACGAGTCCAGGGGAGTCAAAGAGAAGAGGAAGACAACAGAACTAGATCCTTCTACCGTAGCGATGGTTTTCTCTAAACATTTTATGCAAGAATCATAGTTGTGGCTATCGTCTCCACCCATAGAAGGATAGAATTAATGAGGCATTTGAAAGAGAGCTCTTTTTCTAGGAATACTTTATAAACTAGAAGAGTTCATCACTAGGGCAATACTCCCATCACTGTGTGTGTATGTTATCTAAGGGAGTCAGTCACTCAGTAGGTTTAGTTTAGGATGTGTCTAATGGAGGAGTCAAGGAAAGCTCATGAAGGACATGGGGAGTGTCTCCCTCATTCATGGCTGTTTTTGTGGCACTTCTACAATGCTGGTGACATAGTGGGCAACCGATACATGTTTGTAGACTGAAAAAGAGATGGAGGACCAAGATTTCATTTACTATTAGAAGAAATAAAAACAATAGTTGACTTTTGTTAAATCAGGTCCCTGATAGTTAAACAATTACTACAT